TATTATTATTATTATTATTATTGCTATTATTATTATTACAAATTAATGTTTTCTAAATATATTTTAATTAATAATTATTTTCCATTGCAGGTGGAATAACATGCTTTATTTTTTATAATTTACTATTATTATTATCATTATTGTTGTTGTCATTATCATTATTATTATTTTATATTATAAAATAAATCAATATTTTCTAAAAATATTTTTATTATTTTTCATTGTAGGTGGAATACGGTTTTATTTTTTTATAATTTATTATTATTATTATTATTATTATTTAGTTTATTTAAAACAATAATTTGAATAATAACAAAAATAATACTAATTAAAAAATAAGTTGAATTTACAAGTCAGCATATTTGACACTTTTATGGCATTGAGTGCTGGTGACAATTTCAAAAGAGATTTGTTTTTGTTTTTTTCATCTAATGACATGAAGTTATGAATAATTTGAGCCAGGCACGTAGACCCGTTCAGACTCTTTATCAGACCAGCACCCAACCTTTCCAAACTATGCAATAATCTGCGATCCAAGCATTGACAATCACTGTACTACCCACATCACAGGAGCGCTCCACGCTTTGATTAACTCTGTGATTCAGTGGTGTTTACTGAAGTGTGAGCTGTGGGGAGGTGAGAAAATATTTATCAGAGAGTGGAATCTCCAGGCCTCTGGAAGCACATTAAGCACCGGGCAAGCACAGGCACGGGCCACTTGCTGTAGTGAGAATCGCTTGAGGCCAACTTAGCCTCTTAGCCTTTACTGGCAGGGTTGAAGTTCACAGCTTTCTCATCTTTTTTTGTGAGTCATCTGAAAACTCTCTGAGAGACGGAGAGACGCCCTGAGCTCATAGAATGATTTGTGTAAGGGAGAAGACGGACGGACGGATGGACGGACGGATGGATGGATGGATGATAGATGATAGTGGATAGATGATAGATAGATGGATGATAGATAGATAGATAGATGGATGGATGGATGGATGGATGATAGATGGATAGATGATAGATAGATGGATGATAGATAGATGATAGATAGATGGATGATAGATAGATGGATGATAGATAGATGATAGATAGATGGATGATAGATAGATAGATGGATGATAGATAGATGGATGATAGATAGATAGATGGATAGATGGATGGATGATATATGGATAGATGATAGATAGATGGATGATAGATAGATGGATGGATGGATGGATGGATGGATGGATGGATCGATGATAGATGGATAGATGATAGATAGATGGATGATAGATAGATGGATAGATGATAGATAGATGGATGATAGATAGATGGATAGATGATAGATAGATGGATGATGGATAGATGGATGGATGGATGGATGATAGATGGATAGATGATAGATAGATGGATGATAGATAGATGGATAGATGGATAGATGATAGATAGATGGATGATAGATAGATGGATGATAGATAGATGGATGGATGGATGATAGATGGATGGATAGATGATAGATAGATGGATGGATGG